CACCTACAGAGTTGATTTGTATTTGAAGAATTGGTCATTAATGAGAAGGGGGGATTAGTGCCCTCAATTTAAAGCTTTTATGGGTGTAACTTGTCTTCACATCACCCTCCAGGCCATCCCTTCTGATTTGTAATGGAATCGAGCCAAATCTGATAGGGGGCTGCACTTCGACATTTTTGCTGCTTAAAAAAAAAAAGTATAGTTTTCCCAAAAGGCAGCGCTGCACACCCCGAGACGTGGCTGCAGGAGAGAGACGTGGCAAAGACGGCGGGATGAAGCGCCCTCCTGGCCCGGCCCGGCGAAGCAGTGGCCGGTGAGCCAAGCGCACCGCAGCGGCCAGGGCCTGGGAGCGGGCTGCCAGCTGCGGGGTCCCCCGGACCATTTTTAAAAGCACGCCTCCGCGGCAGACGCTGCCCCCACCCCGGTTGCTGGAGGAGCTGGACCTTCCTTGGCCGAGCAAGAGAGAAGAGGAATAGGAAAGCAGTTGCTGGGCGAAGCCCTGCGCGCCCAGACGGCTCCGGAAGCCACTCCTCGAATGCCCAGACCCCACGGGGAGGTGACGGCTGGGTCCGATGGCCGGATGCACAACAGGTCTCAGCCCCTCGGAGCCAACCCAGGACGCGCAGATTTTCACAGCAAAGTTTAGAACCAGGAAGCAAGAGCAGAAGAGTAGAGGAGGAAATGAACTGGAGACCAGATGAACCCCAAGGACCTTACTCATGGCCTGTCTTGGAGAAGACGCCTACTCAACGGCCGGCCGCCGTGGGGTCAGTCCTCAGGGAAGGACACGGCGGAGTAAACCTCCGGGACGTCGTCAGAACCAGGGCCAAAGACCAAGACATCTCAGTCAGCGGTCACTCTGCACAAGCCCGCCGGGTCTACGAAACCAGAGCATGCAGTGACACGGACTCACGCTGAACGGTTCCAAGGAGGGCTGGAAACCGAGCAGGGGTTTAGATGCTTCCATCGCTTTTTGTTCTGTTTCTCGCTTTTCCCAAAACCGAAGGGAAAAGAGGACCTTTGCGGGAAAGCTCATTGAGCCAACACGGAAAGCTACTTGTCATGCTTTGGGAGATGGGTTCTGGGTGAGGGACTTCAGCTGGCATGTTTCACGGGCAGCCGTCCCTCTGCGGAGCATGACATTTTTTCAATGTGATACAGAAAAACTCCTTGAATAACGTTCATGGTCAACGGCGAGTCTTGTACTAAAATTCAAACCCCCATCTCCTTCCCTTTCTTTCTGGTTTCAAGACCCGAGGTTTCCAGACACGAAGCACTAAAGGTGTTGGAAACAGACCGGCATATAATATTTTCTTCACGTAGAACCATAAAATGCATATAAGATGATTCAGAACTGCACACAGCATACTTTTTAGACTTTTGTCCCCAAGAGAATAGATTCTTGAAAAAAAATACTGAAACATAAAAACCATAACCTCTGGAAAGCAGAAACACTGGACAAACTGTGCTCCGATCACACTGTCTTTTTCAGACACACACACACCCACGCGCACGCACCCACACACGCAATTTGTGGTTATATCTCAACAAGTTCAGCTCAAACGTATAGCGTCAAGTCTATGAGGAAAAAAAAAACCAAGCTATCACAGTAGGAACACAAAAGCTGAAAGAGAAGATAAAATCAACCAGCAAACAATTGTTCCAAACGTCCTACTGTGCAGTGGATTTCCAGTTGCTTAAACGATGACAGACGCACGGAGGCCAACAGGGCTGCAGCGTCTTGGTCCACATCCAGACGTCCAGAAACGTGGGGATGTCCTGGTCCCGTCAAGACCTTTCTTCAGCTCTGCACGGGCTTAGCCACCTGTCCCAGGCAGGGTCCAATCGTCCCGTTTCTGGCATGAAACAAGATGAAAGATCTGGTTCGTTTTTAAATACCTGGGGAACGTCTGTAATTCTAACAAGAACAGTAACAATCACACAAAAGAAACTAAGCTTTCGCTTGGAATTCTTACAGCAAAGATCCACCAGCCTGAACTCTAAGGACAGAAGATGTTTCATGAGAGAAATCGATCAGGATTGCCAAGGTGGGTTTTCAGTGTTCTGTGAGGTTCTCCTCCACAACTACCCCACCCTCACCCACGCCAAGAATGGAGTAAACCTGAGCCTGGGTTCAACGTGCTCCGCCGGACGACCTCACAGTCGGAGAAGATATTATATGATGGAATAAACATTAAGGCGCAGTGAGGCGAGCGTTCCCCTGACAGCTGTCCCAGTCACCTCCGCCCCGTGCCAAAAAGTGATAACGCGTACAAAACCAAACAGCTAATCACACGGTTACCTCTCCGCTCCGGAATCCTGTAATTAAGCCGACTGTGGGTCTCACCTATGGGCTTATTAGAATTCTGCTTCATGAAGAAATTACCTTCGTGCACAGAATCATCACACCGAATCACCCTTACCGGAAAACAATCAGATCTTTGTCCTGATTCACGTGCAAGTTACTGCCCGTTAAATCCCTGAGATAGATTCAAATATTAACGTGCCTGGCTTTTAGAAGGGCAAAATCCAGACTGTCTGAATAAACAGAAAGCAATGTGATCATGAAATGATCCCCTGACTTCCCGAGGTTCATCAAGACTGTCATCAAATAGTGTCCCCCGCCATGGACCAAAGTACGTGAAAAATAATTCCACTGTGAGTCTACAAAAATGAGACATGAACTTGCTTACAAAACAGACTCACAGACATAGAAAACAAATGTATGGTTACCAAAGGGGAAAAGAGGGAAGGGAGGCATAGATTAGGAGTCTGGGATTAGCAGATTAAAAACTATAATATATAAAACAGATAAACAACAAGGACCTACTGTATGTTACAGGGAACTGTATTCAATATCCTATAATAACCTATAATAGAAAAAAAACCTAGAAAATTATATGTATAACTGAATCACCTGGCTGTACACCTGAAACTACCATAATATTGTTCATCAACTCTACTTTAATAAAAAATTAAAAAATTTTGAATTTAAAAGACAAAAACAAGCCCTTAGATATGGGGGAGAAAAATACAAGGTAAATAAAACAAACAAACTAGACCTTCAAAGTCATAAAGTCGAAGACCTTCAAAGCTTCATGAAAATTAAGAGACTCAAAAAAATCACATCCTTTAAATCTCAAATTCAGCTTAGCAAATCCCCTATGAGGTGTCCTCCCATGATGCCTTCTTAGCAGCCAAATACCCAGCAAGCCTTCTGGTCTAGAACTCAGGGATTCCCAAACGGGAACCACAGAGCTGTGCTTCCCAATATTTAGGTGCACACCCACCTCCCAGGGGGCTTACTCAGCAGTACAGACCCTGTCCCAGCAGATGCGTTCGGGGAATGAGATGCCGACGGTGGTGCTGACGCCGCCGCCCCACCGCCCACACGCGCCGGAGTGTCCCCCACGCTGCCCCTGGGAAGGACCCTGCCTTGCACCGCTCCACACCGGGGAGGGGCGCTCTGCCCAGTCAGCGCGGGATCTCCTTCACGGGACGTCATGTCGACCTCGCTGACTTTTTCTTTGTTTGTTTTTATAAAAACTTTTATTGACTTAGGCATTCTGGTTCACATTTTGTTTTTCGATGCTCCACCTGTTTGTGGGTAGATTTTTTTTTTTAACATTTTTAATTACTAAAAGTAAAACTGCACCTTCCAGATGGGGATTCTTGTCCTCAGAAATTCTTGAAGACTTCCAAGTCTTTCGAAGACACCGGAGGGGCCGTGTTCCAGTCGTTCTCAGGATAGGCTTCGAAGTTGGAGGTATCGCCCTCACTGCACACTTTGGGCACGATGGGGGGCTGCGGGGTCAGCAAGACACAAAGCCATGTTTGGAGAGGAACGGTGGACACCGGGATGTTAGGTTATCAGATGTTGGCTGATCTAGTCTCTGTCTCTAGAGTCTTGTCTGGGGCCCAGGCATAGGCATTATTTATGTCTCATCATTGACTTTAAAGTGAAAACGTGAGACCATTACCACCGAGGACACCTGCCAGAAACATATTCAGCTCAAAGAAAGGTGAGCCTCAGAATATTCCTCTACCTACCACCATCATTGCGCCATATGCCTAAAAGCTGGACACACACATCATCTGTGTTACTCGAGCCACCGTTCCCCATTAGAAAGCAAAGGGGTGAGACAGATCTTAAGACATGGTCACAGAACTAGCAAAGGATGGAGCCAGGTCTCAAAAAAAAAAAATCCAACTGCAAAAATCAGGGTCTTAATCGCCATGAGGTGAGTGTTTAGCTAAGATGTCCCCTGAACGGGGAACCTGGCTTATGAACAATTTGAGATGAATGGCTGTACTGAACAAAGTGAGTATGTATCAGTCAGAAGTGAGCCAGTCACAGCGTCAGAGCCTGTGTTTGGTTCAGGAGAGCTACCCAGCTAAGAGCTGCCTGATGACAGAGGTTGTACCTTCAGCTTTCTCTGTGGGACAGCCTCCCAGTCCACGGTCCGGAACCACCGATGTCGCTTCACGTCCTCCGCGCCGTTCTTTGAAAGAAACGTGTGTCGTCAGTGTACAGAGCGCTGACAGGG